CACTTAATTAAGCATCTCACGTTTTTGTTGGATATCCTAAGCTTTTCCTAAATGTTTGTTGCAAAGTTAAGTTAAGTGGCTGCAAATGACATGTGACGTGGCAGCAGCAAAGGCATAAAACGGATGTAATTGTGATCGAACAGTTTCATTCTTCCATAAAACACTTATACCTTTGATTCTGCATTGTTACCGCATGTGCTTGCGCTCCATTGGACGCCTACTATGTAAATGTATTTCTCTTGAAATGAGTGGGAAGTGAGAGTCAAAACCAGATTCGAGCCTTTCTCACTAAACCTATCCAACAGCCACAAGTAGTTTCCACTTAACTTCCCACACTCATTCCTGCGATTCAGGGTATTGGTTGTTTTGTTGATTTTTCTCGCTTCCCTAATCTTCCGCTAACTGGGATAGTCCCTGTATCCAGCTAAGCGTGTGGCATTAGACTAATCTATCTGGTGTATTGCACTAACCATGTGTTCGGCCAATTCCGATTTTTGGACCTGCAAACCAATGCCGGCTGTTTGTGTTCAGATAACCTCTTATGTATCGGCCTACATAGGCAATCCCGCACGAACACAAAATCTTGTAACAGCCCAATTTTAATAGAGGGTTAGAAAATTCTTGAAAAGAAGGCATTGCGAAGAAAGTGTTATTTTCTCTTTATGAATATTTAGGATCTCCTACCTCTGGTAATTCGCCTATCTTCTTCGACAAATTAAACGGTGGTAGCATAAGGACTCTGGTAGATTGGTCTAGCCTTTTATCTAGCCCCAAATAGGTATTTCTTCTCATCCTATTTTACAATATTCCGAAATGATTTTCAGTCAGTCCTTGTTGATAAGTATTCTCAGCCAGAATTCTCCTCATTCGTCTCAATTCCTGGTCTCAATGATTAACAACTACCAGACTAGGCTCTTTATTATCATCGATTTGATAACTCCTACTTTGACCCCATTAGTGTTGTTGGAAAATAAATTCAACAGGAAACCTGCGCCTGTGGGTTTCCTTTGCACATATCTACTTAATCCAGTTCCCTCTTTGATAACTACGACACCTAAAAAAGGTAAATCATCTTCCTTTTCTAACTCGAATATGAATTTCGTCTTACCGTCTACCCTGCTTATCAAACCAAAGAAATTTCCCGGGCATTCTTTGCTATGCTGCTAAACGCTAAAGTAGTCGTCCATAAAGCGAACCAATAATTTAGGGACTAAATGTGCCTCTTGAATTAGGAATTCCTCAAATTTTTATTATTTGCTAAAATTGGTTACAAACACGATCCCATAGCCAAACTTCGTGTCTGTTCGTACACTTTACCATTAAAAGGGAGAATATGAACAGAGCATCGCCACATTTGTCAATCTCATTATTGACCCCCTTCTCAACTTTTTGCTTCTTAAAATCTCTGGGTGTTGATCTACTACTGATTGTAAGGCCTGTATGGTATCCTCTACAAGAATTTTAATGTACATAGACTCTACGGGAAAACTTATAGGCAAATCCCCACTTTCTTTCTTAACGCAGTCATAACTTAACGAATTTATAAGAATTCTTAACTGAAATCCGCCACGTCTCGGATATTCTTTTTAACTGATGATAAGTAATTCATGATATCTTATGCATCACACTACCCTTATTATTCACGATAATTCTAAGTGGGGCTCCATCTTAGTTCCCTTTTGTTGTTTTCACTATTATTCCTAGGTTCTACATGAACATCCTCACATATATAATAAGTGTTCATTCGATTTCGCTTAAGGTGATAAGGACCCGCAGTTGAGTTTTTCCCACAATGGTATGAGTAGACCTTACGTTTCCATTAAATTTCACATAGCCTTGCCTCATAAACTGTAATCTCATCCAGGCAGTAGTGAACTGTAGTTTTGACCTCGTCTAGGTCTCATCAGCACCCTTAGCGGGACTCGACCCCTGATTGTGGTAATGCAGCGTATAATCTTGACAAGTTAACCACCAAGCCACACTACCCCGAGTGATCTTGGATCATAGGACAGATTTAAATTTCAAGAAAGGCCAGGTATTTTCCAATATCACATATTGTGACGGGATTGCCGGTGAAGCAAAGTTATGGTTGCTATAGCAATCGACTACATCATTTATTTTTTATGTAGGCTTTCGGGACTACCAGTAGATCTGCTATATGCGATGTGCTTACCCTACTTTTCTCTTTTTTGTGTCGCCGCCATCTGGCGGTCTTTTAATTGCTCTACGAATACAAGTTAGTGTTCTAAGTTTTTTGCTTAAGCACCTTAACGAATATTATTTTTCCATGCCTTTTTTTGTTTGTTTAGCTACTTCTTCAAGCCGATCGTCCTTGGTGGGCTTGTTTGTTTGGTCAATGGTCTATTCTTTTTGCCCAGTTTCTGCCACATCCTTATGTCTGTCGACGAAGCCCCCGGGAATCCAGGAACTTCTTCACCTGTTCCATCTTCTGGTTTCCTGGTTGAACACAAGCCCGAATCCTGTCAACGCAGGAGCTCACAGGATGACTCCCCACTCAACTCCACCACCCTCTTGAACGATAATGTAAGTTCCAACTATTAAGTACTCGCCATCCATTAATTTCCCTTTTCCTTTTGCAATCCAACAATATACATTTGGTAATTTAATAGTTTTAACTCATTTCATATGCTTTTTTACAAGTACATAGTCACTTAGGTATATAAAAAAACATCCTGCAATATCGGAGTATGAGAGTGAATTGTTCGATCCTTTCATGACGAGCTATCCGCCTTTTGAGTGAGGTAATAAGGTAAAAGCTTAGCAGCCAGAGTCCTGAAGACTTTCTATAACCGAAACATATCATGCTAGAATAATCGTCTGTAAACGAAGTTTTTTGTTGAATAGTCCAACGACTACTAAGTGAATTCCTTAAAAGATCGAGTGTGTATTCCGTTTCATAGGCAAATTGGACTCTTCATAAGTTTCGCCCTCAGCTCGTTTTGCAACTTCATAATCATAATCAAAAAATAGTTGGTGCTTTTAAACTAGCTAGGATAGAAATGGCCTTCTTATCTACATTGACTCTGCTTATTCTGAATTCTGACATCCTTTCCTCAATCCCCCTTATTTTGCATTCTCCTTTTTAACTACATTCATCATTTTCTAAACTGAAAGTACCTGTTTCATTTTGCTTAAAGTACGAAATCGAGCAAGACTCAAATATACCTATAGGCTCGTCTTTTGGATGGTCTAAAGAGTAGACTGGACGTATGAATTGGTCACTTGATTGCCCCTTCCTTTTATTAGGTCTTTGCTTGTACCACCATCACTTTTTATTTTGAGTTTCCCTCCATCCAATTAGTCTAGGATGTCAGGTTGACAGGACCCTGTGCTGAGACTTCAGCCTAATTTGTCCCCAGAATCATAGGTTTGCCGATAATTCTTACTTATTCAAGGATAGATAATA